AGCCAATACCCCCACTTTGTGGGGGGGCAGTGCAAGCTCTACCAAATATCCACACGACTCTTCGCCACCACCCACACCCAGCTTCCCGCCCTATGACGTTCGGACACTTCACTTCGTGGCCTGCGGACGACCGTGGCTACTACACTGGCGTGGAGTACACACCCACAGAAGTTGTTAAGCCTACGTTCGTACACCCACAGAAGTTGTTAAGCCTTGTTAACCCACAGAAGTTGTTAAGCCTTCCACAGAACATCTGTTGCATATGATGCATATGGTACATGATACACATGATACACATGATACGTACTCACAAGATAGTTGATCACATCTTTAGGGCAAATTCCTGAGGGATGTGGGAATACACAAGAGAGAGAGGATATGGTTGTCCCGATGGTTGTCTCGATGGTTGTCCCGATGGTTGTCCTGATGGTTGTGGTTGTCCCGATCGTTGTCCCGATGATTGTCCCGATGGTTGTCCTGATGGTTGTGCTTGTCCCGATCGTTGTCCCGATGACTGTCCCGATGATTGTCCCGATGGTTGTCCCGATGGTTGTTCCGATGGTTGTCCCGATGGTTGTCCCGATGGTTGTGAGCGATGCCGGATCCTCACGCCCCCCGCCGGAGGAGGAGGAGGAGGAGGAACAGGACAAGGAGGAAAGGAGAGAAGAGAGAGGAGGGGCGGGAACGGCGCTTGCACGCCCACGGGCCCTCTTGGGGCCGCTTGGGGTCCTGGGGCCGCTTGGGGTCCTCTTGGGGAAGGGGGGAAGCCTCCTGGCGCCGCTTGGGGTCCTCTTGAGGGGCTTTGGGGGGCTTCTTGGAAGCATCTTGGGGCCTCTTGGGGGCTTATTGGGTCCTCACGGCGGGCTCTTGGGGCCTCTTGAAGGCCTCCTGGGGCAACCTATGGCGCAACCAGTAGGGGGACGTTTTATTCTCGGCGGCCGAGGGCGCAACCTATGGCGCAACCAATAGGGGGGCGTTTTATTCTCGGCGGCCGAGGGCGCAACATATGGCGCAACCGCAAGGGATTCTGGCCCCTGGCAGGCGCGCGAACCCCGTTGCAAGAGCGTGCGAAAGTAGCTCGCGCGAGCTCATGTAACATAAATGTTGGAAAACCATTGGTTTTTTTAGGATTCGGACAGCGCGCGCGGGTGGAAATTTTGAAAAGTCGTGCAGGTGTTTTTCGAGGACCTACGGTGCGATTCGTGTGATTTTATGATGCGCGGTGCTAAAATTCTTAAGAACCCAATGGTTTTTGGAGATTTCGGCGTGCGCGCGCGAAGAAAAAACGAATGTGTCCCGCATGGTATTATTTGACAGGGATGATGGCCCTGGCAGGTGCGCAACCGTTGTCGCAGAAGTTCGAAAAAGTTGCTCGCAAAAGCCCGTTTGACAGAAATGTTTAAAAAGTGTTGGGTTTCCTACGAATCCGCAAGAGCGCGCGGGATGAGATTTTGACATTTTTTTGTTGAAAAACCATTGGTTTTTTGATGTTTTTATGTTAAAATCGCTCCGAACACTAAGCTTTTGGAAGGATTTCGTCTTGCGCGCGCGAATGTCCACTTTACCTTATTTTTTGCAAGGGATTCTTGAAATTTGATTATATTAGAACAAGAAATGTCATTTTATAGTGTTTTTTGCAAGGGAAAACGGATTACAACAAAACAACCGGATCTGATCACATCGTTTTACCTGAGGCTTCCTCACGAAAATGATGAAAATGTAGCTGCGGCCTAGGCGGCGCAGGGGGGGCGCGCACCAGGGGGCCCAACAATAATTATTCTTTAGAATTAATAATGTTCAACAACAACAACAACAACAACAACAACAACAACAACAACAACAACAACAACAACAACAACAACAACAACAATTAAGACTGGGGACACTCCGTTCTCACCAGTGCCAGGGTTTTCATAGGAGGCGGGCAATACCCCCACTTTGTGGGGGGGCCGGTTCAAGCTCTACCAAATTTCCATACGACTCTTCGCCACCACCCACACCCAGCTTCCCGCCCTATGACGTTCGGACACTTCACTTCGTGGCATGCGGACGACCGTGGCTACTATTCAGGGCCCCGCGGCCGACGACGACGGCGTGCGCGCGCGAAGAAAAAACGAATGTGTCCAATATGGTATTATTTGACAGGGATGATGGCCCTGGCATGCGCGCAACCGTTGTTGCAGAAGTTCGAAGCACGTGAAAAAGTTGCTCGCAAGAGCCCGTTTGACAGAAATGTTGAAAAAATATTGGGTTTCCTCAGAAATCCGCAAGAGCGCGCAAGATGATTTTTTGAAACTTTTTTTTGAAAAACCATTGGGTTTTTCATGTTTTTATGTTAAAATCGCTACGAAAACTAAGGTTTTGGAAGGATTTCATCTTGCGCGCGCGAGTGTGCACTTCGTGTCATTTTTTGCAAAGGATTCTTGAAGTTTGGTTATGTTAGAACAAGACATGTCATTTTATAGTGTTTTTTGACAGGGAAAGCGGGCGTCAACAAAACAACCGGATCTGGATGACATCGTTTTACCTGAGACTTCCTCACGAAAATTATGAAAATGTGGCTGCGGCCTAGGCGCGGGGGGGGGGGCGTGCACCAGGGGGCCCAACAATAATTATTCTTTAGAATTAATAATGTTCAACAACAACAACAACACTGGAAAAGCGTACTCTCCGGAGCCTTCGGTGCCACTCCCCCGGTGGACGGACGCACACTCCGGCCCCGTCCTGAGACGCTGTGTTACAACAACTTCTCCGGCCCTGCGAGAGGCCATCTGCGGCGGTGTCGCGCCGCGGTGGGCAAACGTACACTCCGGCCCTGTGTGCACCGTCATCTGTGCTGTTGCCTCCACAGAAAGCGCTCCCCGTGCGCTACCCCATTCTCCGGCCCCGTGTGCAGCTAAGACACCCTCAGGGGCCCTCACGACTCCTGACGAAAGCTAAAGACTCTCTCCCTGACGAAGTCTGAAGACTCACTCAAGGAATCCGTAGGGAATCCTCAGGAACCCAAAAGGAATCCTCAGGAACCCAGAAGGAATCCTCAGGACCCCCTGAAGAATCCCCAGGACACACATAGGGGATCCGCAGGAATCCCTAGGGAACCCTCAGGGATGCCTGGGGAATCTTCAAAGGAACCCCATTGGGAATCCTCCAGAACTCGTTAGTGACTCCGTAGGGCCCCCCAGGGCATCCTCAGGGATCCCGAGGGCGTCCGAAGGAATCCCTAAGAAATCCTCAGGAACCCTTAAAAGAGGGGAATCCCCAGGAATCTTTAGGAGAATCCCCTAGGACCCCCAGGGGATCCTCAGGAATCCTTAGAGAAGCCCCAGGAGCGCCGAGGGCATCCTCTGGACCCCCTGGGGGGAGGAGGGGGGGGGGGGAGGTCCTCAGAACCCCTCAGTGACTACCTACCAGACCACCCCAACCCAACCCGAAGACCCGAATTTCGGGTTGGGGGGGGTATGGGCTCCATATGTGTTTTTTCGATGTTCCCGGACCCCCCCCCTACTAGAAATCGAAGGTAAATCTGAGCCTTCGGGTTGGGTTGGGGTGGTTTGGTGGGTGGTGACTCAGGGGGTCCTCAGGAACCCCTACGGAAACATCAGCAGCCCCTAAAGATTCCTCAAGGGAAAAGCTCGGGCTTCCGCCGGACCCCTCCAAGGAGTCCTTAGGAGACCCTTAGGGGATCCTTTGGGATCCCAAGGGGATCCTTTGGAATCCTGAGGAATCATGAGGAATCCTGGGGCCCCTGAAGAATGCGAAGGAATCGGGAGGAATCTTGAGGGGCCCTTTGAATGGATCCTGAGGAATCATGAGGGATCCTATGGAATCCGTAGGCATCCTGAGGAGGCATGGTGGATCCTGAAGAATCCTGAAGTTGGGGATCCTGAAGGATTCGAAGATATCCTGAAGAATCCTGAGGAGCCCAACGGAATCCTGAGAACCCCATGGGGAGATCTTGAAGAATCGCTTGGGATCCCAAGGATTCCTGGGGGATCTTGAGGAATCCTGGAGACTCCGGAAGGAGCCTGAGGAATCCTGGAAGATCCTGTGGAATCCTCGGGAGTCCCGCGGAATGGCTCCTGCGGAATCCCGAAGAATCCTGGAGGGTCCTAAGGAATCCTTGGGGATCCTAGAGAGTCCGGAGGAGTCCTCAGAAATCCAAAGGAATCCTGAGGGACTCGCGGAAATCCTGGGGACACCGCTGGAAACGCGCCAGGAATGCCGACCCCTTCTCCGGCCCCGTGGGGCATCTTGCGCTGCCGCCCCAGTGCCAGCCCCTTCTCCGGCCCCGTGAGGCAAGCCCTCGGTTGCTGGACCTTTGCTTACCCTTACGGATAAGCATTTGGGCTTGGAGAAAAGAAGATTATCTCAACAACAAGCTGGAGCCGGTGTCGACGCCTTACCAAACATCAACAACAACAGCAACAACAACAACAACATCAACAACAACAGCAGCAACAACAACAACAACGACGCAACAAGCATAATCCTCACCACGGATTCTCCCTTCAGCCACGCATCCAGGGAAAATTAATGACCTTTCGGCCCCCCCTCTACACTGTTTCCAACCTGTCGCTGAGTTGTTACTGCATCCCGCGCCCCACAGCCCACGGACCCCGTCTCCAAAATTAGTCTTGCGCCCCGCATTCCTTTTGAATGGCCTCGGAGCCTCGAAAACCGCCTCACGGATGCCATGTCGAAGAAAACGCGGCTGACAATAATCCTGTCGATGGAGGTCTGCCGTTCTGCTCCCCTTCGGCGGCATCTCATGGGAACCTCACGTACCATCGTGTCGGCTCTTCCGAATCGACGCTTGTCGACGCTAAATCGACGCTGTTCGACGCTAAATCGACGCTAGTCCACGCTGATCGACGCTACATCGGGCTAGCCCATCGACTCCCAGACGCTTCGACGCTAAGCGACGCTAAAGACGGACCTCAGAAGATACGATGGGCTCCCATGATCTGCCACTGAACTCCCCCCTCCCCCGAGGCCCCCGCCGGCATGTGGTTGCCGTTCCCGTCCAGCAGGGCGTAGCTGTGCTTGAACTGCGAGACCGAGCGGTCTTCTCGACGGCCCACCCCAGGGGTGCGGGCAAGACTTGTGTTCGGATCCACTGCAGCTTTGAATTTCGGTGTCAAGTAGCTCCGCACAGTGGGCTCCGCCTACGTGGCCCAGAGCTTGCCCCCATAAGTAAGCCGCTTAAGGCACGTGCCTCCCACTTAGAAACTAAATTATTACATGTATCGCCAACCGTCGGTAAAACAACTGAGGTGAAAAAACTAATCATAAATGTCGGGATGGAGCCCGGGTGCATATCCTGGAGGTTCTTTACTGAACGACCAGCGTTCTGGGGGGGACGAAACATCCATCGGCTGCGACCACCGTTCTAGAGGGTGCGTGAAGGAGTGGGGGGATGAGGCGCAGGAAGAGCAGGCCACGGGCAGAGCCCAGACGGACACGCGGACGACCCCGGAAGAGAAGGGCCTGGGACTACGCCTCAGACACCTCCGACCAGCCATAACTGGGGGAGCTGTGGTCTTTACCCCCCTGGGGGAACCCATCGCATTGACGATCTCTCGAGAGGGCTGTCGAAATCGATGGGTCCCCCAGGGGGGTAAGGACCACAGCTCCCCTAGTTGTGGCTGGCCAGAACCTTCAGACCCAGGTCAGGAGGAGGAGGAGGAGGCGGAGGAGGAGGCGGAGGAGGAGAAGTAGGAGAAGGAGGAGGAGGAGGAGGGGGAGGGGGAGGAGGAGAAGGGAGGAGGAGGGGGAGGAGGAGGGAGGAGGAGGAGGAATAGGCGGGAGGGAGGAGGAGGAGGAGGAGGCGGAGGGAGAGGAGGAGGAGGGAGGAGGAGGAGGGAGGGGGAGGAGGGGGCGAGGAGGAGGAGGAGGACATTTTTTTGTTGGCATTCGCTTCGGGGTGAACTAAAGTCAGGCTCGGGGGGGGGGGGGGCGGCGGGCCCGCGAGGAGGAGCGCGCGCCAGGCCCGCACCTTCCTGTTGGGGGCCCGCGGTGGCGGCCCAGGCGCCGCCGCTTGATAGGCGCCGCCTCCTGTGGGTCGGGCATGTCCCCCTAGAGGCGGAGCTTGGAGGAAACACAGTGGGCCTTTTTCCTCCTCCTTCTCCTCCTCCTCCTCATTGTCCTCCTCGTCCTCCTCCTCCTCGATTTCCTCCTCGTCCTCCTCCTCCTCCTCCTCCTCCTCCTCCTCCTCATCTCCGCCGCCTCCTCCCTTTCTGACTCCTCCTTATCTCCGCCGCCTCCTCCTCTTCCTCCTTCTCCTCCTTCTCCCCCTCCTGGTCGTCGTCGATGTCTTTCAGGGTCGGCCGCACTGGCCGTCAGGCCTTCACAATCGTCACCAAAAAACCATTTACACTTTTTTGAGTATTCCTCCTGCAGAGGGGCACTTCCCACTTACCGCTTTATCTGAACTCCTCCATCCCCGCCCCCATGCAGTGCCTCCCCGTTGTCAAGCGCCCGTCCAGAGTACTGAAAGAGAACCATTGGGCATCCCAAAGGCCGTCTCAGAGGATCCCTGGAGGAAGCATGGGGGGGAGTGGAGCCCAGCAAGGGGAGCTACGCAACAGCAGGAATTCTGGCGCCTTGTTTTCTCCGATAAATGTATGTACTCAAGGGTTGTTGCCTGTTTGTCATAAAGAACTGGGCCTGTCTGGCGGTGCGGCGGTCCCGTGGTCGCCGTCGCCGCCCCGTCGCCGCCCGTCATCTGGGCTTGCCTGGCGGTCTGTCTGCTCCGTGGTCGCCGTCGCCGCCCGTCGCCGCCTCGTCGTCGCCTGTCGTCTGGGCCTGGCTTGGGGTCTGGCAGCTCCGTTGTTGACGTCGCCGCCCCGTCGGCCCACATAGATTGCACCAAACATGTGACATATATTCTCCTCTCTGGGAAAGAAGGATCTACCATTTCCCCCCCGAGCGCATCGGGCCCACTGGGGATGTGCAACATACATACGAGTCTGCCCATCTACATACCTATACGACCGCCCTGCGAGCGATATGGAGGTTGGGGGGGATTGAGATCAAATGCCCACACATTGAATTGAACTGATGGATTGGATTGGGTGGATTGGATTGGATGGGAGAAGATGATTTGGATAAGATAATATGGGTTGCACTGGAAGATATGGATTAAATAAGATAAGATGGGTTGGATTGGCCCGCCGCAGGCGCAGAAACATATGAATTTATGGATTGGTTTGGATGGATTGGATTGGGTGGGATAAGGTAAGATGGGGCAAGATGGGTTGGAAAAGATTTGATGTTTTGGATTGGGCAAGATGGATTGAATAAAATAAGCTGGATTGGATAAGAAAGCCCGACGATGGCGCCGACAACAATGAATTGATGGATTGGGTTGGGTGGATTGGATTGAATGGGATAAGATGTATTGGATAAGATAAGATGGGTTGGATTGGAAGAAATGTATTGGATACGGTCAGATGTATTGGATTGGCCCGCCGCCGTGAATTGATGGATTGGGTTGGGTGGATTGGATTGGGTGGGATTGGAGAAGATGGGACTAGATGGGTTGGAAAAGATTAGATGTATTGGATTGGTCAAGATGGAGTGGATAATTATAAGCTGGACTGGATAAGAAAGCCCGCCGCAGGCGCCGACAAAAATGAATTATGAAATTAGCGACATGCGTTAGCGCCAGGACGCCCAGGACACCCGGGACACCGCCCGCCCCAACTGAGACACCTCTGGGCCACCAGCGGACGGGAAACGGACTTCCGCTCCTAATGACACCCGGGACACCCGGGACACCGCCCGACCCAACTGGGACACCTCCCAGCCACCGGCGGACGGGAACGGACTTTCGCTCCTACTTCGGCCTAGCTACAGGAGGATCACGCGCAGCTTCGCCTCGCCCGCACGCGCGACACGAACACGAAACCGAAACTGATTTCCCAGTGGGGGGTCCCCGTTTCACTGCGAACTCACCCCCCAACCTCCGATAAATCCCCGCTCCTTCCCCTGAGCAGTCTTTCTCGAGCTTGCCTGCCGCAACGAAAAGAAGCAATGTCGCGATTGAGTCGAAGGGTAGCCCCCCTTCCCAGCGGTGGGGGGGCCCAGGGTGGGCTCCAGGCTCAGAATACCATCCTCCCACGGGGTTCAAACAGGACCCAAGACAGCCCAAGAGGTCCCCAACACGGTCCAAGAGGGACCCGAAACGCCAAAAGATCGGCCCAAGTTGATTCAGATGGCCTCCTCACAGCCCAGGCGGCTGCCAAGACGCTCGAAGAGGTCTACATGAGCACACCTAAGGGCCCAGCAGGCAACATTCCATGTGGCGTGTTCGCCTTTTCGGCTTCCCGACGCCCAAAGACGGCCCAAAATGCAACAACGATCGGCATAAGAGGTCCGCGATAGGTTCCCAAGACGGCCCGAAAGACCCAAGAGAATCCCGAAACTGCCTTGGAGGCCTCCAGGATGGCCCAAAAGGTCCCCAAACCAGCTCGCCCGAACGCACATTTCAAGCCCTCGGCCCCGAGAATCGCTCACAAGGCCCCAGTAGGCCGCAACGCGGCCCCCACGAGGCCCGAAGAGGCCTCCAAGAAGCCCGACGAGATCCCCAATCGGCTCCCGAAAGGCCCCCAAGATGTTTTCAAGAGGCCCCCCAACTGCCCTCCAAAGGCCCTGTGAACGCGCTCCGAGAAAGTCCCGCGAAACATCCCTGAGGATCCTGCTCCACGCCAACGTCGTCGTCGCCGACGCCGACATCGTCGTCGTCGTCGTTGTCGTCTCCCTTCGAGGTCGGCGGCACTCACCGCAACGTCTTCCCAATTCATATCATCCCAACCAGGCCAGGGCCGATAGCACCCCCAATCCACATCAGATAGATTATGTGCGCACGCACTCGTTTATCACAGCTCTCCAAGTGCGGTAACCCCTGTTGCGGAAAAGAACGAACTAATTTCCATACGCGCGCACAGACGCGCGCGCACGCCGAAATGTTTCAAAGACCTGGTGCTTCGTATGGGGCTTCACAACGAAATGTCCCGAACGATGAAACGGTACGTCTGGCGACGGCTTCGCGCGCGCGCATGTCGAAATCATTCGAGCGCCTTGCGCGCGTGCTGGACTGCACGACCCCTCAATAAGAAGACTGTGCGACGTGTGCTCAATCTAAGAGAGACTGGAGCTCGTGGCTGCTGGAGGGAGTCAACATCAGAGCGAGGAGGATGCATCGAGTTACAACGGATCCAATTGCGTGGAGTCCCACAACCAAACTCTCGAAATTCACATCGGTTGTTTCAGACCCTGAGGAACTTCTGTGTGCGGAGGTGGAGCGATGCGGCGGCCTTAAGACGACCCCTTCCACGGACCTTGGCATTTCACCCTCACTCCGCCCCTCCCGCTCCTGTCCGCGACGGACATCCGCTCTGTCTCCAAGCATTGTTCTTGGGGGGCTGCTGTGGGGCTTGACGGCTTCCACATGTGCTACTACTCTCACATGTCTGATGGGGCCCTTTATTTGTTGGCCCAGCTTTTTGCTTTGATAGAGGCTTATGGCATCCTTCCGCGGCAGAGTCGGACTCTGAGTGTGGTCCTGCTGGCAAGCCCCAGGTCGGGCTTTAGACCCATCGGCGTTTTCAGCAGCCCCTACCGGTTGTGGGAGTCGGCTCAAGGCAGAGCCCAAGTGGGCCGCCAATAAGTTCGAAGGGGCCCAAGATGTCGCATGGCGTCAGCGTTCCCGCTCCGAAGCCAGCAGGAACCGCGGTGAGGAGGCTGCCACCCTTCTCCAGGATCTGCTCAAGTACTGCGAGCAGATCCTTCTGTCCCTCCTCGAGTCGCGCTGCAACCAACGCGGGTGTAATCCTACCGCCACCGCGGTATGTCTTGCGGCCTACCGAGGTGGTAGGCACATGGTGCTAGCCTCCATCGTGTCTCCCGTGCAGAACGTAATGGGCCCTGGAAACGACAGGGCCGTTTTTTACCGGTTCCGTTTTGCCGTTAGTTCGCCGGTTCCGACGCCGTTTTTGTTACGGGTTCCGTCGCCGTTTTGTGACTGGTTCCGGCTCCGGTTCCAATCCTGGAGCCGTTCTTTTGCCGTTTCCGGTCGCCGTTTTTTTGCCGTTTCCATTTTCAAAGGACATTTTTTGGGAAACGGTGAAAAAACGGCCCTGCCGTTTCCGGGGCCCACAAAAAAGCAGTACGCTATGCGCAGTATTCGCGTATTTGGGCTCGATGCTTTCAACTCGGTCTCGACCCCTGGGCGCCTGCCTCTGGAAGTCTGCACACCTCGAGGCTGTCGGGCCTCTCGAGTCGGCCATCGGGAGTCTCACTGGATCGGGTCACAAGTTGCATCGAGGGATCACCAAGACGACAGTTGCTCTGATGTCCACTGGCAAACTGGCCACGGTGTGTTCCTCAAAGCATGGGGCGTCTAGGCTGCAGCAGCACTTCGGCCCGTTGGCAGGTCACTTTACTTTTAGGAGTCGGCGGTCGAGTTGGGGATTGACGACGCCGGGGGGAATTGTGCGAGGCATGAACAACAAAAACAAAGCGAGGGTTGCCAAAGCGGCCTGTCGACCTTTCCGTTTGCGTCACAAAGCCATCTTGGGCCGAAGGACCCGCGGGATCTGCGTGTTGCGAGAACCCCCCCAGTTTTGCAGGTTCGGCTTCGGCGTTCACGTCTTTTTCTGGACAGGGGGCTGGCCAGAGGTCTTGCCGGCGCGTCTCTCGAGCCTGCCGCAGGAGGGCGATCCTTGCTCTTGCTTCTGCGCCTCGAGAGCGGCCCTGGGGAGACCAAAAGGTACCGATACCGCTACTCCCTGGACCTGTCCTGGGGCGCGTTCCGACCAGGATTTCGAGGCGAATCCAGCGGTAGCGACGAGGGCCTCCCAGGAGGCCCAAACAGCGGAAAACGGGCGAAGGGTAGAGGTATGGGTACATTTTCCTCCTCTGAGGCCCGACGTGGACCGGCGCGGCTGCTCCCCTCCTGCACTGTGCGCGTGAAAGTGCGGCCTTCCGCGGGCCTCGCCCCAGTTGGCGGGCGGTGGCCGGCCCATCGGGTCAGGTCGGGCGCGTGCTCCTGCGAGCAGAGTTTGGACGAAACGATGAAAATAGTCGCGGCATGCCCCAACATACACCGAGCTTCTTGATAAGCGCCAGGGGGGGTCACCCCCGCCGACAGCCCCACATCGATCTCCGTCGCGGGCAGACACCGCGCGCCGAAGGCGCTCCGACCTCCGTCGCGGCGCGACGACGAGGCGAGGTTGACCTTTATCGGAGGGGTCCCCCCACGTTTATTAAGAAACCCAGAGTAGTCAAACAATAATCGAGAAATCGTCCCCAGACTATTTTGGGGACTATTCTTGAATCTTCCCCCTGTAGGGGAACATGCCCGACTTACCCCTCGGGCCATGAGGCTCCCGCTGACCAGGCTTCGCTGGGCCGTGTCTGAGCCCTTTAGGGTTCTCGACGACCTCGGATTTCCCTCTTCTTTCACCCTATCCCCCCCCCCCGTGCCCTGCTTAGAAAGGTACTTCGTGAGTCTTCTCGCGGGCCTCTGGAGCGCCAGAAGGGCGCCAAGTGCGCCCCGAAACAGGTTGTGCTTTATCATCGTTTCGGAGGATCTGTCGTCGAAGAGGTGCTCGGCCCTGGACAAGGGCTGCATCCGCGCCGTCTGCTGCACGGTATATGGCCCACGTCTTGTGCTGCGGCTACTGGCTATCAGGTAGAGGATGCGTGCGCAAGGCGCGGAGAACCCGGCGACAGTGTTTTACCGCCTTTGGGTGCGTAAGTCCTGCGAGGGTCTTAGTGCTGAGCTCGTCCCTGCCGAAGTCTTGGAGTACGTCAGACAACCAGACCTTTCGGAAGTGGAACGGTTTCAGCTCGTCACGGGTCTATTCCCTCACCCTGGCGACTGGTGGCCCGAACGCCTCGGACAGGACGGAGCGTTTGCTGTCGAAATGTTGAAGCTGCTGGACAAGCCGCTTCTTGCAACATATACAGTGGCTTCGCAATGCACTCGGACAAGGGTGAGGAACCGGTGGGGGATCTCTCTCTGGATGGCTCGTGCGAAAGTCTCCGATCATGGAGCTTTGGAGGGCGGCATGGAGGACGGCCAAAATCTCGCCCGATGGGGAGGTCGGAGCCCTCCTGTATGGCCCCCTCTGCTCCAGCTATCCCCCGACCAGTCAGGCTGCTGAGTTCGGGGCCCCAGCTTGGACGGCATCTTACCTTTTCTCCTCACCCCGTGCGTTTCAATAGCCACTGCCAGAATGTTGTGCAGCTGTGGTCTCTCTCTTGGCCCGAGCGTTATTCAAGCAGACGTATGTGCGCGGGCCTCCTTTTGCACGACGACGCCTTGTCCGACAGAGTGGGGCGGACAACGTGGGGGCCCACCTTAAATCAGACCCTCCCCTCGACCCTGACGAGCTCTCGAAGAAGAAGGGGAACGACAGGGCCGATCGGGCCGCAAAGTTGGGGGCCAGCCTTGACCCAGACGGCTCTGAGGGGGACCACGGGCGAGTCGCTCAACTTGTCGCTGCCTCCTGGGCCGTGGTATAGCTGTCCGCTCAAGTGATGCCCCTCTGGCCTCAGACCGATCTGGACGGTGTCCAGCTGGTGCCGCCGAGGGAAGCCCAAGAGCAATTCCCTGGCCAAGATTGGACTCACGTTGGCCACCCTCCTCGGATTTTGTGGCAGTGCCCTGACTGCCCCAGGGTCTCGCGCTCACAGATGCAGCCCCCTGCGGGCAGGTGCACGCGACACCTCAAGATCAGGCCCCCTTTCTCTGAGAAAGCTGGGCCACCGCTGCGTGATGACTGACTGCAGCGGCGCGTCGTTCGCATGTACTTGCCGGCGTTGCTGCTGCCATTCCTCATGTGAGCGGCGCGCCAAGCTTGGCAAGAAGCGGGAGCCCCTCGCGGAGCCGCACGCGAGTGCGAACTGGCGGCTGCTTGGCAAGGGAGTCTATCCAACAAGGAAGGGGGTCACAATCGAACTGTCCACTGTTTGCCCGCTCCGAATGGGCCTTGGACCGTGGACATCAAAAACGGATCTCGCCAGAGCGCCGCGCTCATTCGTCCCTTGACAGACTGCATGAGTTTCACGTGCTAGCATGGTTAACATACAGTGAAAGCCAGTCCACAAGAACCTCCAAGAAGAAACCCAACCCTGAGACCCCAAGACGTCCATCGACTTTTGGTGCGGGTACGTCACGCCTTCCATCGCAGAACCATCGACACCCAAGAAACCCAGGGCACCCTCAGGGCAAGCAGGGTGTTTCTTGGCATGGGCCTCCACTGTACCAGAAACTGCGTTGTTGGACGATCCATGGTTGTCAGCGCGCAACAATTACGTTGATTCGCGGTGTTGGAACGAGCCTCAATACGCAACAATCAGACTGCTTCGTGGCAGTAGTATCCCAGGAATGGTGTTTGGGACGCTTCAAGGCTTTCAAACGATTGTCTCCCAACGGGGCACCTCCCCCAGTGGAAAACAATACTTTTAGGGTCATGTTGAGAAGGAGCTTGGAGGGAGGGCGTAGTCCAACATCGTTGATGCGCCTTGATATTACACTGTTGCTCCTTATCCTCCTCCTCATCACCACCCTCCTCCTCCTCCTCCTCCTCCTCCTCCTCCTCCTCCTCCTCCTCAGCATCATCCTGTACCTCCTCCTCCTGGTTCTCCTCCTCCTCCTCCTCATCATCATCACCATCCACCTCTGCGACCTCCTCCTCCTCCACCTCGACTTCCTCCTCCTCCTCCTCCTCCTCCTCCTTCTGCACCTCGACTTTCTCCTCTTCCTCCTCCTCCTCCTCCTCCTCCTCCTCTCCACCTCCAGGAGGAAGCACACATCCTGGTCCTGGGCACCTGCACAAGCTTTGCCCCGCCCCCCCCCCCCTGCGGGAAGGCCGTCGCTCTTCGTAGTAGCCCGTCCGCGTGCCCGTCCGCACCACCGACGGGTTGCCTGCCCCACAAGCTGTTCGTCCCTCCTTCTCCTTTCTGGGAGCCGCTTACTGCCGGCGGCGAGCGAGTGGGAAGGTGAAAAGGAGAAGGCCTTCTCAGAAGGTTCGGCCCCCCGGGCCTAGAAGTCTCCTGAGCTTTCCCCGAACACACAGACAACTTCTCAGAAAACGCGAAGGCTTCTGAGAATTCCCGCCGCCTTCTGACAAGGAACTCTCCGTCTCACTTCCCCCCCTCGCTCGCCGCCCATTACTGGGGTGCGGTCAATGGGGGGGGAAGATAGGTGCACTTTCGCGAGCCCTCAAGGCCACCGTTTGAACCCTCTGGAGCCCCTGCAGGGGCCCTGCAGGGCACCTTTTCTGCGGCCCTCGCTGCCCCCCCCTTCTTCATCGCCCTCCCATTGCGCGACGCCTGCCTCCGTAGGGGACGCGATGGCCCGGGTCAGCACAAACCCGTGTCAGCCAGGCCTTGCAACATCCTGCAGGATCCTGCGCGCAAGCCCGGGTCAGGGAACGATGCCTCTTCGGGGTGCTGCTGCATCGAATCTCCGAAGAACGATGTCCCCCGCGCGCCCCGATTGTCGACGCCTCTCGGGTACCAGCGGCGGCCGGAGACCTCGCTTTGTGTTGTTGCTCTGCGGTTCGATGCGCCACCGGACCGAGCGCACTGCCCTCCCGTGGCCCCCCCCCTTTGCGAGGTCCCGCTAGGATCCCTCCACAGACATCCGGCGGATCGTTTTTTTCCTGGGTCGCGAGGCGGGGGGATAAACATGTCCACCTCCGCCGCATGCCGAGGCCACCGATCTGGTATGCCGTAGCTGGTGTTTTTTCGGATGACGGCGGTTCTGGTTAGTGGGATGGGGGCGGGGGGGGCGTCCCCAGTACATAGCACTAAACCAGGTCCTACTAAACCTTGTCCTGCCAACGCCCGATCGTGGGACTCCCAGATCCCATCCCGATCTGTTTCAAGCTTCGAGCGCGTGTCTGCTTCCAGATTCAATAATCTGCGTTTGCTGTTTGTTGTTCTTCCGCGGGAGGGCCTGGACCCAATCTAGTTGATCCGCCCTCCTACTTCACGTTTTTACCTACTTATTCCGGCCGTCCGACCGACGTGTATACTCGTTTTGCGTCTGTTCCCGCCGAGACGCTGCGATCCTCCGAGCGACATCGGGACTTCGAAAGACCCCGCCTTGGAAACACATTTCACAGAGTCCAATGTAATCCCGCATCTTAAAGTCCCAGATCTTGAATCCAACTGCTCCTAGTTCAGCCAGTTCTGCGTCCTCTCCTGTCGAGACGCTGCGATCCTCCGAGCGCAGGCCGAGCAGCGCAGCAGGGAAGGCGCAGGCGTCCGACAAAGCGGCGGCTCTCGGCCAGCTTGCCCCCGAGGAGATCCCGACCCCCAGCCCAACGGGGGCAGCGGCTTCGTCCCTGGGGTCCGTTTCAACAGGCCCCAGGGGCGTGAATAATTTCGGGCGGGTCAATGGGGAGCGACCCAACGCGGGGGTGAAGAAAAAGGTCCTAAAGGCGCCCTTTATGGCCCCATTTGGACACCAACTGGCTCCAAAAGTGACCCTGAATGGCCCCATTTACATTTAGGGCCCTTCCCTTCACCCCCCATTTGTGTCAACCCCCCAGCACCACCCGCTCGACAGTTGCCCCCATTTGAGCATGTCCTCATGTAGATTCTGGCAGGTTTACCTTCGTGGCATTTCCGCCCCCACCCCCCCACACCCACCTCCCCACCCCTCCCTCCCTCCGCCTTGTTCGAGCGAGCCGGGCAAAACTGCGTTCATGCGCGCCCAGACTTGCGCAGAGTCCGGATGTCCTTCAGGCCTCGCCACGCCACGCCCCCCCCCCCTCTCATCGAGGAGATAAAAGGGCCCCTAACCCTAACAGCACAGTTGAGACGTAGCCTCACCTCGGCCCCCGTCTTTATTTGCTTCCAGGATGATAAATCTGGGCGGTCTGGCTTGATACATCTGCAGAGAATACCCCCTAGCCTTAATGTTGTTGCCCTTCCAAACTTAAGGTACCCTCCCAAAGGGTTATGGGGTCCTTCTGTTGCGGACCACCACCCACGCACGTACTTTGACCAGGACATGATTATCAGTTGCCTCGTTGCGGCTTCTGGCGTGAGAGACGGTCCCGACGGGCCGAGACCGCTCCGAGGCGGAGGCTCATCCATACACGCCGGTCGTTGGAAGTAGGTATTTTTGGATTCCCAGATCCCAATCTACTTCAAGCGCCGTCCTACTTCAAGAATCGGCACGCTTTTGCTGTGTTGTGTCCTTCTCTGGCAGGACCTGGACCCAATCTACTATATCCGCCTTCCTACTTCATGTCTCTACCTGCTTCTTTCGACCGACGTGTAACAGCCGCCTATGGGATCGATCTTCGGAATGTCGGCAAGCGGCGGGTATGGATTTACTCCAGCCCCCTGGGGCCTACCCGTGTATACGTACACTGTATATATGCAGAAGCATACGCACAAGTTTGCATATACCGATTGTGCATACATATACATATATATACACATATCTATATTTGTATACACACATATATATACATATATGTAAGTATCAATATAGACACAGGTGTAGGTGTCGAACACACATCGCGCGGTCTGGACAACATCGATCCGCCGGATGTCTCGAGGAGGCGGAGGGGCCAATGTCATCCGATACGGGGGCTCATCCGCCTGGGGGGAATCGGCTCCCCCGCTTGGGAGTACTGAAACCGGCACCTCGCCTGAGACATCCTCGGAAACTGCTCCAAAAGAGAAGGACGTTGGGCACCCAAACAGGCAAACCGCCTGAGGCATCCCCCCAATCTGGGCGCGAACGGGCCTGCGATAGACGCCCTGGCGCCCCCCCCCTTGGGAGTACTAAAAACGCCTCGCCTGAGACATCCCCGGAAACTGCTCCAAAAGAGAAGGACGTTGGGCACCCAAACAGGCAAACCGCCTGAGGCATCCCCCCAATCTGGGCGCGAACGGGCCTGTGATATACTCCCTGGCGCCCCCCATTGGGCGTACTGAGAACGCCTCGCCTGAGACATCCTCGCAAACTGCTCCGAAAGAGAAGGATGTTGGGCACCCAAACAGGCAAACCGTCTGAGACGTCTCCCCTATCTGGGCGCGAACGGGCCTGTGATAGACGCCCTGGCGCCCCCCCCTTGGGAGTACTGAAACCAGCGACTCGCCTGAGACATCTTCGGAAACTGCTGCAAACGCGGAGGATGTCGGACACCGAAACAGGCAAACCGATCGAGACATCCCCGCCATTTCGGCGCGAACGGAATGGTCGCCTCGCTCGAGACATCCTCCAAATCTGTTCCGAAAACGGAGGATGTCGGGCACCAAAACAGGCAAACCGATCGAGACATCCCCGCCATTTCGGCGCGAACGGAATGGTCGCCTCGCTCGAGACATCCTCCAAATCTGTTCCGAAAACGGAGGATGTCGGGCACCAAAACAGGCAAACCGGTCGAGACATCCCCGCCATTTTGGCGCAAACGGAGGAGTGCAACACCCCCTGACGGCTGCCCCCTGGATACGAAAATGGGCGACTCGCACGAGATATCCTCCAAATCTGCTTCGAAAACGGAGGATGTCGGGCACCAAAACAGGCAAACCGCTCGAGACATCCCCGCCATTTCGGCGCGAACGGAATGGTCGCCTCGCTCGAGACATCCTCCAAATCTGTTCCGAAAACGGAGGATGTCGGGCACCAAAACAGGCAAGCCGGTCGAGACATCCCCGCCATTTTGGCGCAAACGGAGGAGTGCAACACCCCCAGCCCCTGGATACGAAAATGGGCGACTCGCACGAGATATCCTCCAAATCTGCTTCGAAAACGGAGGATGTCGGGCACCAAAACAGGCAAACCGCTCGAGACATCCCCGCCATTTTGGTGCAAACGGATGCATGCAAAACCCCCTGGTGGCTCCCCCTTGGAAGCGAAACTGAGCGCCTCGCTCAAGACATCCTCCAAATCTGCTCCGAAAGCGGAGGATGTCGGGCACCAAAACGGGAAAGACGCTCGAGACATCCCCGCATTTATGGCGCGAACGGAGGAATACCTCCTGGCAGCCCCCATTGGGAGTACTGAAACCATCGCCTCGCTCGAGACATCTGAGTCTACATGTGAGTGTGTCAGAGAATGATGACCTGAGGGTGGGAGGTGTTCGTTCCGCGCGGTCTAAATAATGACAAGAGCCCCATCCTGAGGATATGGTAAAATACTCCAAAACAGTTATCATCATTCAACAGATCGCCCCCAAACTTTTTCTAACTATTTTTGAATACTCCTCCTGTAAAGGGACATGCCCGACTTAACCCTAGAGTCGGGGGCGCGCAAACATGGACTAGCGATCCATGGATTTGGTGCGCGGTCGCCAAATCCATGGATCGGGGGAGGTGCCCTCCCCAAAACGCGGCCAATGCCGCCTCGCTCGGCGGCGGAACTCCTCGATCCCCCACGGAAACGGGACCCGTCGCTGATCCACGCCCCCTTGAGCCCTGCTTGCAATCGCCTGACCATCTGCCTCAGTCGGGAGAGGCCAAGAGGGGGGCGTCCAAGAAGGGGGGGGCAAATCATGACTGTCGGCGTGTGCGCGGCCCAGCGGGGGGCCAGCGACGTAATGAAATCAGAAGAGGCGCCATGAAATCTGGGAAATATCATGGCCCCCGCCATGATATCCAACCCCTCCTAGTCATCACCCCCCTCTTTTCCGCCCCCGACTCAGGCGGTGCAGGTCGGTCCCCCGGTGCTCTCCGGCGGTCTCTGTCGGCGGCTCCTCGCCGCATATCCGGATGCCTCCCGCGGCCTTCGCCGGTTTCCCGCGCTCCCTCGGCGGCCTTTTCGGCGCGAAGGCCGGGACCCGGGGCGCCAACGGCACCCTGGCGCGTGAGATCCGCCGATGCAGCGTGTGAGCTTCGGAGAGAGCGTGGTCGCTCGAGCTTCGCCCGAGCTCCGCTCGGCGGGGGAGGCCCCCTTGGGATGCTCTCGCGCAGCAGGGGGTCCATGATCGAGCACCCGATGCATCGTGGCCCCCTGCCGCAGCGACACGAGGCGGCCCGGGGCCAGAGGCACGAGCCGGGGAGGGGAGCAAGAGAGGGCTTTCAGGGCCCACGTCGCGCACAACTCAGAGGCCAGGAGGGGGGGGGGAGCGAGGGGGGGGGATGCAGGGGGGAGCGAGGGGAGGGCGAGGAGATAGAGGAGGGGGAGGAAGACATGGGAGGGAGGGCGAGCGAAGGAGGGAGGGAGAGGAGCCCATGATGCAGCCAAAAAATACCTCAACTAAACACCCGAATTGCAATTGAATTACTTGTGGGACCCGTGTGGCCTGTGGGACCTGTGAAATATATGGGTCCTCTGGTACCTATGGGATCCGTGAGAAATGTGGGGCCCGTGAGACATGTGAGGGGCCATTTGCGACATGGGGCACCTGTGGACCTCTGGGTGGCCCCTGTGGGGCATGTTGGACCTGTCGGACCGCTGGTTGACTTGTGAAACGTGTGCGACCTCTTGGACTTGTAGGACCTGTGGGGCTCTTGAGACCTGATGACCTGCAGGAGCTGTGAAACCTGTGGACCTTGCGGCACGTGTGAAACCTGTGGGACCTGTCGGACCTGTGGCGCCTGTACGACTTGCGGGACCTGTGGGGCGAGCGAGACTTGTGGGGCGTGTGGGACCTGCGGCACCTGTGGGGCCTGTGGGGCCTGTATGGCCGTGGGACCTGTGAGGCCTGTGGGGCCGTGGGACCCGTGGGGCCTTTGGGACTTGTGGGAACGATACGATGATTGCGGCCTGAACGACCTGCGGGACTTGTGGCGCCAGTGTGACACGTGGAACCTGTGGGACCTGTGAGGCCTGTGGGCCCTTTGCGACCTGGGGCACATCTGGGACCTCTGGGACTTGTGGGACCTGTGGGCCTGGTTTGACCTTTTGGGCACGTGGGACCTGTGGCGCAGGTGGGAACTGTGACTTGGGCGATCAATGGGACCTATGGTACCTGTGTGGCCGTGGACCTCTGAGACCGCTTAGTTGTTCTCGGCTTTCGGGGAACATGTTTAAACTTTCACTCGGCAGGCAAGGACTGAGGAGGGAGGGAGGAGGAGGGGGGGAGGGAGGCCGGGGAAGACGAGAAGCAGGAGGAGGAGGAGGAGGTGGAGAAGGAGGAGGAGGAGGAATAATAACGATGAGGGATGGGGGAGGCGGGGAGAGGAAGAACGGGCAGGGCGGAGAGAGAAGGAGCTTCCCATTCTTCTCCCGTTGGAGACGTCCTTGCCCATCACTCTCGCAACGGGGGCTCCTGCCAGGTGCAGCCTCGCAATCTGCTCGTGGGCGAGGCTCCAGCGCCAGAGCCTTCCCGTCAAGATGCCAGCGGCCGGGTGACAACTTCCTGCCCGTTCACAGCGATGGGGACGGCCGCATCGAATCGCAGTTGTAGGTCGGGCATGTCCCCCTACAGGCGGATTTTGGATGAAACATTTCAAACATCAAATTATTCTCTAAAAAGCAGAGAAAGAAGTTCAAGCATGTTCAAACAATCGTCCCGAGACTATGTTTGTTGACTATTTTTGAATACCCCCTAGAGGGGACAGGCCAGACTTAATCTTAGTTATTTTCCCAGAGAAGAAAAAACAACAAAAACAAACCGAGCACAAAGCAGACACGAGAACGCAAAGTGGTAGCCCAACGCGAGGGCCCTCGGGAAGTCCTCGCAGCGTCACTACGCGTGAAGGTCATGCTCGAGGCATCCCCACGGTGTGCCCGTGAGCCCGGCGCCCGCTCGAAGCCTCCTGTGGACTCGGGCGGCAAAGTGCCCTCCTCCCCCCTCCCTCCTCCTCCTCCTCCTCCTCCTCCTCCTCCTCCTCCTCCTCCTCCTCCACCTCCTCCTCCTCCTCCTCCTCCGCTCCTCCTCCGCCTCCCTCCCTCCTCCTCCTCCTCCTCCTCCTCCTCCTCCTCCTCCTCCTCCTCCTCCTCTCCTCCTCCCTCCTCCTCCTCCTCTCCCTCCTCCTCCTCCTCATCCTCCTCCTCCTCCTCCTCCTCCTCGCCCTCCTCCTCCTTCCTCCTCCTCCTCCTCCGCCTCCTCCTCCTCCCATCCTCTCCTCCTCCTCCTCCTCCTCCTCCCTCCTCTCCCTCCCTCCTCCCTCAAGCTCCTCCCTCCTCACCTCCCCTCCCCGTTTACACCCTTCCCACCCATTCCCCCCCCCTCATCCAAAGCTCGCCCCCGCTGTTACAGCGCTGACGCTGCGACCGACGTTGACGATGTTCATGACCAAGGTTTATGATCCCCCCCTTGCTGCCCGCTATCTCGCGCGCGCAGCATCGCCCTTGCCCTGCCTCGATCACCCTGCTCCTGTTCCTCGCCCCGATTCCGCCCCTGCACCAGCGCCTCCCCCATGGCTCCCCAGCGTCGGCAAGGAAACGCCGGGGCAACACAACCCCATGCAGCGCGCGCGCCCGCACATGCGACACGGCTCGAGCATCTGCCACGCAAGGCCCGCGAGGCAACGCACGCAGTCTTGCGAAAATGCTGCACTCTCCCCGACGGCATGTGAAATACCCACGCGATAATTTCTGGCGAGTGGACCGCGGGAGTCGCAAATTTAGTTCGGGGGATCCAGCTAAGGGTACGGAGCGCTCTTTTTTCGGGCCAGGCGAAAGGGGGGGATAGCAAAGGGGGGGTTTGAGAATCAGCTCAAGTAGCTGATTTTACCGGCGCCTCCCAGCGCCGGAGGCGGCTATGTATCGAGGAATGGGCCCCTCGGTGGGGCCGAAACCAGCTGCATGCAGCAAATTTCGTACCCCCCCCTTTCCCAATCCCCCCCTTTCGTCCGGCCCGATTTTTGGGGGCGCCAGGCGAGGGATCGAGAGCGGCTCTCGGCGAAGCGGCATCGCAAGCCAGGCGACGGTGCCCACACTTGCTCGACCAGAAAACCCCTTATCCCACCTCGGGAGGCGGCGGGGGGGTCGGAGCTCCTCCTCCTCCTCCCCCTCCTCCTCCTCCTCCTCCTCCTCCTCCTCCCCCTCCTCCTCCTCCTCCTCCTCCTCCTCCCAGATAAGCCCAACGTAAATCGGCCGGAAGGGAGGAGGGCAGATTCATTCGAACTCAATCCCCTGACCCCTCCCGGGGACGAGCCTCACAAGTGTTTCGGGCCGCGCCCCGCCGTGGCGGCGAGGGGGATCATCTCTCTCCTCCCCTCCCTCTGCTGGCAAGAACAGGTGCTGGGCCGCCTCAACCACCGAGCCGACTCCGCATCCCATCCGCTCCGTGGTTGAAAGTACCCAAGTCCCGGTACTCCGTGGGCTGGTCAAACTCCAGGTGTATCCACGGTGTCGTGAGGACTGGCGCGGCACCCCTCAAAAGGCGGCGCAGGAGGCGTGCGGGAGAGCGCGCGCGCGGAGCGCCAGCAGCGGCGGCCACCAGGATGGTCGAAGGCTGCAAAGCACGCTGCATGCGTCCGCGGCGGTGAACAACGCACACTCGGACATGGGACAAGAAGGCATCCTCCGAGATCATGGGACCCTCCGCCGGCCAAAACACCCCGAACCTGAGGATCTTTGGAGTCCCGAAACGGTGCGGTGTCAGACCGTGCGGTGACCTCGAAATCCCCCAGGACCTCGCCGCACGGTCCGTCACCGCACGGTCCTGGGACCCCGGAGGCCCCATCGCCCGAGACGTCCTCGGAGAAGGACTCGAGTCCCGAAACCGTGCGGTGACCCCGAGTCCCCACCGACTCACCGCACGGTGTGGAAACCACCCCGTTTGTTACCAGCCTCGAACGTATCCCTATTCCTAAGATTGACACGCCAAAAGGCGATGGCAATCTGAGGGATTCGCGCAGACGATCTCGGGGTGCCCTCCCCCAAAAGCGACCTCGGCCTTGCGCCTCGGCCGGACCGTGTCGGGCCGGGGCGCCTGAAAACACATACTGCACCAGAGAAAATAAGGAACCGAACTTTATACACCGATGCTTTTTCCGGTCCCGCACTGAGATCCGCACCAGAAAACGGATGATGGTGTATACGGCATCCTGGTGTATACGTGTTTTGCTGTCTCCACGGGAAAACGGGGAAACAAGTATATACCTTACCACCCCGACGTCGTCCCCGCCCCTCAAAAAAGTCCTGGGATTGAAAAACCGGCCGCCACTGGCAATGTATATGCTCCAATTTCCGAGAGAAGCCCAATCAATGGATCGTCTTCGCTGAAGAGATCGACCGGGAACCCGGGAGCCCAGGAACCCAGAACCCACCGAAACCGGCCCGGATCCAATAACCGGGAACCCGGGAAACCCGGGAGCCCGGGAACCCAGCCTGCTAACAGCATCGGCAGGAAACTTTCGCCAAATCTTTCAACTTTCGCCAGGACCCCTTCAGTGCAAGCACTGATTGGGGAATGTTTTTTTCTCGTCTGGGTCGCTGGCTGCGGCCCGGCGACCTCGACGACGACGCCGCCGCCGACAACGCACCGGGAAAATTCGTTGGATCGTCAACACCTGTCCGTCTCCCAGCCGCCGTGGACGCACGAACTACAGCAGAAGCCCGATAAGGAGGCGTGAAGATGAGGCCAGGACGAGGAGGAATTCGGGCGAGGATCAGTCGGCAAAATCTCCGAGATCTGGCGGCTTCGGAGGATGTCTCGGGCGCCGCGGCCGTCTCAGAGCGTTTGGGAAACCTCTGTGAGCGTTCTGGAACGCCCTGGAACGGATCCGTCCTCGTCTTTGTTCCGTCCGATGTGTAGAGGTCTACATACAACGCGCGTGCTCTTACCAACTCCTTCACCATCACACTTCCTTTACTCCAGAGGAACCATGGGCCAACGAACATAGCCATATGCCTAAAAAACAAGCCTCATATCAGAGTGAGGGGGCCGAACCGTCATTCACTGTCACTGGGTGCGTGGCTGTGGTGTTGTCGTCGCTGTTGTTGTTGTTGATGTTGTTGATGCTGTTGATGTTGTTGTTGTTGTTGTTGCTGTTGTTTTTGTTGATGCTGTTGTTGTTGGTGGTGTTGTTGGTGGTGTCAATGGTGTTGTTATTGGTATCGCTGTTGTTATCGTGGTTGTTCATGTTTGTTGTTTAACTGTTTGTTGGGTGATGCTTGTTGTTTGTTGTTGTTTGTTTGTTGTCCCGCATGCGACCCGGCCCGTGATCCAACAACGACCCAACTGCGACCGCCCCCTGCCTCGTATCCGCAACTGCGGGGCGCTACATGTTTACCATTTGCTCGGAGCTCGCTCGGGTTGGCCGCACAGTCCAAGCTATGCTCGGGAGCTCGGACAAGTTGCCCCCGAACAGAACACCAGATATAGATATATACACATAATCAATGCATGGAGCAAACTCCGTTTGCGGGGCGGTGGCTAGGTACACCCCGCGTCTGTCTCTCTATCTCTCTCGCTCTGTCTCTCGCTCTCTCTCTCTCTCTCTCCCTCTCTCTCTTTTCCTGCTCCTCCCTCCCTCGCTCGCTCTCTCTCTCTCTCTCTATATATGTCGTCTTGTTTGAAAGATTCCTTTTTTGTGCTGGCTTCTCCCTTTGTGGTTCTCTGTATAGTTTGCTTGTTGTTTGTTATATCTATTTTTTCATGGTTTCTCTCTCTCTCTCTCTTTCTCTCCTTTTGACCTGAACTTCAGCATCGACCAGGCCCCTCGCAGCCCTTGGCCCTGCCCTCTGAACCGACCTCCTCGGCACGCCCCCGCCTCCGCCCCGGCGCGCGCGGCCCTCCTCCGCCTCCTCCGCCTCCTCCTCCTCCTCCTCCTCCTCCTCTCCGCGGAGTCGCCCCCGCCCCCCGGGCGGGGCCGCGAGGGCACGCGCGTTCGGCGGTGGGCAAAGGTCCCCGGGAGCAGTCCACAGGAGGGGCCGCGAGGGTACGCACGCCCTCGGCGGTGGGCAAAGGGCCCCGGGAGCAGTCCACAGGAGGGGCCGCAATGCACGCACGCCCTCGGCGGTGGGCAGAGGGCCCCGGGAGCAGTCCACAGGAGGGGCCGCGGGGGCACGCACGCGCTTTCGGCGGTGGGCAGAGGGCCGCGGGAGCATTCCACAGGAGGGGCTTCGAGGGCACGCGCGCCCTCGGCGGTGGGCCAAGGGCCCCGGGAGCATCCCACAGGAGGGGCCGCGAGGGCACGCGCGCCCTCGGCGGTGGGCCAACGGCCCCAGGAGCATGCTACAGGAGGGGCCGCGAGGCACGACATCTCGGCGGACCCTGGACCCGCAAGCACGACGGCCTCGGCGCCCTCTCGCGGACCGAGAACGGCCAATGCACGAATCGACGCGTCAGGGTAGGAGGTCTATCAACCTCCGAGCTAGGTCGGGCGCGTCCCCCCATCAAAAAAACTGACACCCCCCCCTATCAAAAAAGAACATCCCCATATTATTTTTGGATTATTGTCAGAGTAGGAGGTCTATCCACCGCCGACGCACACGTCCGAGCGGCAGCGGCGCCGCGCGCGGCGACGAGGTGGAGGAAGGCAAAGCGGCGGCGCGGGCGCGCGCGGCTGGGCCCTCAGACGAGGTCCCACACACGCGCGTACACGCCCGTTCTCTCTCTCTCTCTCTCTCTCCCTCTGTCTGTGTCTCTCTTGTTTGTTTGTCTCTCTCTCTCTCTCTTTCTCTCTTTCTCTCTCTTTCCCTCTCTTTCTCTCTCCCTCTCTCGCCTCCGGCGACATGGTGCTGTCCAGGCCGTGAGTTTTTTTATTATTCATGTTTTCTCTTCTGGGTTCAGACTGCTGGAGCCCGCCATCGAGACCGTGGCAGTCACAAGGAAGACGTGTGTACCTCTGGGGCCACGCACTGAAACTATCAGAGTCGAGGATGCCTGGCTTTATAACTATTCATGTTGTGTCATTGTGGGTTCTCTCTGTGTGTCTCTCTCTCTCTATAATTCCCTCCTGCTCTCTCTCTCACTCTCTCTTTCCATTTTTCTGTTAAGCATGTAACAGCAAACTTGCCACCGTATGTTTAAGCCTCTCTCTTTCTATGTTTGTCTTGCTCGTATTTCTCCCTCTCTGCCTCTTTGCCTCTCTCGCTCTCTCTTTCTCTCTCTCTCTCTCTTCTCTCTCTCTTTCTCTCCCTCTTTCTCTCTCTCTCTCTGTCTTTCACACACAGTCCGACAGGACCAATCCTTCCTCAACTTGTCCAATATTATGCATGGGCCCGTGGGCCACTGTCCCAGATTCAATCGTGCAAGTCTGTGCGGGGCCACCACTGCCAAGGGCACTGCAACTCAAATAGAACGGAGCGCCTGGCAACTGGGACGGACAAATTGTATGAACCTGGAACTCGGTCCTCGCATTGGCTGCGGATGGCCTCGCGTCCCGGCGTTTGCCTGTGTTCTCCTGACCCCGCTGCACTCCGCGGGGCCGCTTCAACACACACTCACATACACACTCACACACAAACGCACACACACATACACCTCACACGATTCGTGCCCCTTACGGCATCCGTCAAGGGCCCCAACAGAAAAAGTTACACGGCGGTCGCGGCTCTTTTTCGGTCCACGCACACATATACTTTACACGTTCCGTGGCCCCACAAAGGAGCTCCACCTGCGACCCCAAGGGGAAACCCACTTGGCGCATCCGCCTCCAACTTGGCACATTCACTTGCACACACCCCACATGCTTCACGGCCCCGCAGGGGAGCTCCACCTGCGACCCGAACGGGAAAACCGCTTGGCGTTACCCGCCCCCGCTCCGCCCCCCACCCCCCAACCCGCGGTTCGCGGCCCCGCGCGGTAGCTCCACCTACGGCCAGAGCGGGAAGGTCGCTTGGCACACCCGCCCTCAACTCGGCGCACCCCTCATACGCTTCGTGGCCCCAAGGGAAGCTCCACCTTAGGTCCCCGTGGGAAGGGCCGCATGGCGCACGCGCCTTCTGCAATGCAGATCCTTCAAGCGACTCGTGGGTCCAGCGACGGCCCCACTGGAAAGGCTACGTGGCGCGCGGGTCACCAATCCGCGAACACCTCAAACGTTTCGCGACCCCACATGGAAATCAGCCCACGGCGGCCCCCACAACGCAGCTTTCACATGGCACCAGCCTCTACGGAGGCGCATGTCTCATGCGTTTCGTGCCACTTCGGGGGATCGAGCTGGGAGCTTCGCCGGCCTAGGCGCTCGGTGAGGCACCCCTCTCAATGTCCCAGACTCCGAGCGCCGGATCGAGATCGGAGAAACCCGAAGCAGGCCCCAGCCTAGTGCTCTAAACTCCCACGCGCTGGAAAAACATGTCGTGGCCCGAGATCCCCCTTCCTAAGGCCTAGGGCCTCGACATGCTCGCGTAGTGCCTGCGACAGGTAAGGCTCCTCCTGGGACCTCCGGCTCGACCCTGCGCTGACGGCT